GCAAAGTATAATTTTCCCTCTCAAACTACGACACACTGCAAACATTTCCACCCAAGGGCCCTTCAATAACCTCCATTACTACTCTTTGACAATCTTCGTCAACACCAATTGGTCTTTTGTATTTTGAGTTTTCGTTTTGATTTTTCTATTCTTCTAGTTGAAGTTTCGAGGAGGATGTCTTATCCTCGACATATGTACTTTCTTTCTCCTCATAATAATACTTCTTTTGTTATAAAATAATAATGATAAGGTGCATGCGACTAGATGAGGAGAAAGGGCTATAGCATAATGCTTTGCGGAATTGAGTTGTCTGCGGTAGGAATTATTGAATTAGACTACCATCTATACTTTCATTCAGCATGTTCACAAGATGCCTTGAAATTCTAGAAGCTAGTAGCAATAAATATAATTATATTGTATGTGCAGAAGATTTTTGTTTTTTAGAAGTTGAAATGTGTATGTATATTTATATATTCCAAATTAATTTTTTAGACAGACTATGAATATATAAAGTAAGTATAAAACTTATTAATGATTTTTATTTGTTTTAATTGAAAGCAATTTTATTACTCTGAGAAAAAAACAACTCAAAATGTTTTTAGAAAAACAATGCAACAAAACAACTCAAGATGCCTCTCCAAGCAAATTTGGTTACTTTATTTTTATTGGGAGCATGGTTGCTTTCTCGAAGCAACTAAAATTTCTCATTCCAAGTGAATAGTTTTGGGGAAAAGAATAAAAAATACATATGCAAACATAAATTCTCAAAAATGAAATATTTTTTCAGAAAAAAAAAAATCAAAATGCTTGACCAAACGGAGCTTTTATCTCCTATAACTGGAAACTTGTTATTTGCATTCTCTCCGCTACATTTTTCATTAGTTCTTCATGTCCTTGGCCTTCTTAATAACATTCTGTCTATAACTGCAATCACAAATGAACTTAATTTTAAAGTTTATTCTATCTTATTTTGTCTTTCAAGAAATAAGAATAGAGGAAATAATTTGCTATTTTAGATTGTGAGATGCTTTATATGTCCTATTGCCTAGTGGAGGGTAACTACTGTTTGCTTCCTTCTAGAAACCTGACTGATGCTAGGAGATTCTATGTTTGCTAACCAACAACCAATCTATGATTGCGTAGGAGATTAGAACATCCATCACCAGTTCTAGAATGGTTGTGCTTTTACATGTTCTTGAGTATAAGAAAAGGAAACCTACAATTAATTACATCTTGATATTTTACTATTATGCCCTTAACCCTAATTACACGTAATATATATTTTCCAACGACTATAATAAACCTACCTATATAGGAATAGACTATATGGCAGATAATTTATTGTTCTGGATAGGCTATATAGGAAATATTCTTATTCACTTAGCACTAAACTATATTGAGTAGTATAAACAGGAACCCAAATTCTTTTTTTTTTTTTAAATAAAATTTAGTATATTATATATAGGCACCAAAGAGGTGCAATGCATATATAACCTTTACAAATATGTGAAAATATCAATTGAGTCTTTAAAAAAAAAAGTTCTCAAAAGTGTAGCTAATGTAACCTTTTATAAAAATTTAAGGATCTGGAACCAAAGATTTTTTATTCTATCAAAAATAATTTTTTTGCTCTCAAAAGCCCTTTTCTTTTTCTTTTCTTCCAAATAACTCATAAGGTGGCTAAAGGATAAGATCTACATTCTTCTTGAAATGCTTATCCCCATGGATGCCTCTCCAAGCTTAGAATGTCCATTCTTACTGAATCCGCCATTACCTAATTAATAGCGCCTAAAAGACTGGAAGCCATAATCCAAATATAAAAAGATAAAGGACACAATAGAAGTAGATCATTTCCATACTCCGCATTTTTCCTTCATAAGTAGCACCTATGCTTGCAAATGGCATTCTTTCTCTAACAGATACTAACATGTGTAACTAACCACTCTTAGTAGGATTGGTTAGAACTTCTCTCCCTCTTCGTGAAGGGTAGGTTCAAGCCCTGGGTTATGTCTCCTATATAACAAAGTATGCAAAAAAGTACTAACAAGTGTAAAAATGTACAATTAGCTTAGGATTCTGAACCATTATATATATTTCGATTATTTATAAATTCTACTTTGTTCTGAATCAATATGTACTTCTGATTCTCTGGTTCTTTTTTCTTCCTGCTTCAAATTGTTGGAACAAGACAAGATTAAATGATTGTTTTCATTTATATTCCTTGTCAAAAAGAAGACCAGGATAAGTACTTATTATTGTTCTTTTGAAAATATTAGTTTGTGTCATGCATTACATAATATTTTTTTAAAGTAAAAATTTATTTGAGAATTGAGTTTACCTTGTTGTTTAGAAATAGTCTTTTACATTTTATGTTCTGTGTTTGAAGAAACATGACTAGTTAAAATCCTAAAAATATAGTATGTTCTTCCTGTTGCTTGCTTCACAGGCTCAAGATAACATCATGAATCTTCCATTAGCAAATGGATGGGGGGAGAAGCATCGACTCTATGTGAAATGGAAATATCTTGAAGCCAAGGTACTCTTTTACTAATTTCAGTATTGATACTTGTTGTGAAGCTATTGCAAGGGGAATTTGATTCTTTTACTAAAGGTTAATAGACATCAAAAAGATAAATGTGGATCTTTGACTACTTCAAGAAATTGTATTTGGCATCCATATTCAATTGGATCAAACAACGATTTTCTGTTGATGTGTGGAAATTTGGGAACACCATGAGTTTTATCACTGGAAGGTGGCGCCCTTGAGGTCCAATAAGCTGAAGGTTATAGACTCTTGGTTGATATGTTTCAAGAGAAAATTCTTTGTCTGTATCTTTTTGTGCATCTTTTCCTTGAGTCTCTGGTTAGGATCCTTCCCTATCCTAAATGATGATATCCTTAAGGATATTCCTAGTCGTTGAAAGAACATCTTCAATTGTCTCCTTGGGGTAAGATGGTTGATTTCTTCCGTCTCTAGGAGAATGGTAGGTGTTTGTGCTTCTCCATCCGCTTTTATGGTCAGAAGGTGGCTTGGTCCCTTAATGTGTGTTCCATTTGAGAGGTCCTTCCTTGTGGTTCAAGGCGTAATTGGAAATGGTTGGAATTTGTGAATCACTTTGGTACTTTTCTTTTTTGAGGGGATTGAAATTGATGGATGATGGTTGTTGAAGACTGCTAACATGAGTGGTTCGGATGTGAGATCCTTCTTGGAAGAGCTGTTGCATGCATATAGAGTAAGGAGGCTGGAAAGAGAAAGGATGCTAGATCAGAAAAAAGGGGCCTTTCCCCATGTCAAGCTAGGAGGGCCTTGCACGAGCTTGGGTCAAGTGATGAAAGAAGGCAATTTTTGACCTGTAGTGTGAAGTTTGAAGTTTGATTATTGTGGCAATTGATCGCTTCTTTGTTGGTGACCCTGTGAGGAAGAAGACTCATTCTCTATGTTCTCTGGTGGATGTGTTTGAGTCTTGGGAGTGCAATCCACTCGCCTCTTTAATAATTAATTCAAAGTTTAAGGTTGTGCTTCTTTCCCAGGAACCTATTCTTGTGGGTAATTGTTTTCCACTCAGTCGTGGAAACTCAACTAAAACTTGATGCTCTGTTAGTTGTAGTAGTCTTCCATTTGGTCGTGGAAACTGTTGACATTTAATGTGTTCTTAATTTGTATTTTGACATTCTGCTTGTTTAACTAATGCTACTTCTCTCTTTTGTTTGTAGGCTGCGGCATATTATTATCATGGTTTGATACTTGATGAGGGAAATACAGAGAAGTCACATGGAATGGCTGTAGCTGCTTTGCAAGCTGCAGATGAGTATTTCAAGGAAGGAAAGAAGGCATCTGAAGCATTTAATGCAGCTTCCCCTTTATCGAGGTAAAATGATGAATCGCTGATTTGTTTTAATTTTTTCCTCACCTATATTTTTAGTGTATAAATTACCGTTGTTCATAAAAAGCATATTACTTTCCTCCTTTTTGTTTTATTTAATTGATTATTTTCTTTTTATGTTCACAGCTTCTCTTAGTAGGAGACCTTTGTTCTATGATCCTTGAGAGTTCCATCCCCCCCTTTCCGAAAAAACCCCTTCCCCAGGGCTATATTTGGGAAGCTAAGTCTTCCAATTCCTTTTCATAACTCTGCATATTTAGAGTTATGACCTACAATAGTATTTGAACAAGGTTCTTATTGGTTGTCATTAAGCAATTGATATGGGTCCCAAGTCTGGGATTGCATATTTAGAGTCACGAGGGAATCTTGGAACAAGTTGGATGCTTTTTTCATAGATTTCTTCATTTCCTGGCTATCTAAAATCACAGCCTAGGGCGTGTTAGAGTGAACCCACCAATTTCTGAAGGTAAGGTACTGCAAGTTGTTTAATGAGAATTCTCTGATAATTTTATTTATGCAGTCCGTTTTCACATTATAGGGAAGCTCTAGACTAAGATTTTCCTACTTTACAAGGCATACTAACTTCCTAAATATACAAGTTTTCCAATCATAAAAATCTATTTTGTTCCAAAGACTTAATTAGATAAAAGTGTTATGGAGACTTCTAAACTCAAAACTTCTCAGTAATTTATAACATTTTCCTATTTTGGTTTATTGCTCTTCTCGTGGATCCTATGATTGTACTAGATCCCTATAAATTGGTCTCTGGTTCGGTCAGGCAGCTCGTCCTCTCCTGACTTGGAGTTGAGGGATGTGACATCACTTCCTCCCCTCTAATGGTGCTTGTCCTCAAGCACCAATGCCTGAATAACACTCTTGGAGCACTGCAACATCCTCCCAGGATGCATCAAGATAAGCTTTCCCAGTGGACCAGAAATTTTGGTTATCCTGCTCGAGTTTGTTGCTCTGTACTCTTTAGAAGCTGTCCCAATTGACCCTTGTGGAATGGAGACAAGGAGGAATAAATTGTCTCACTGAGATGGTATTTCTTCAGATACAATACATGGAAGACTGGATGAACTCACACTATAGCTAGTGGGTTTAGGCGGTATGCCATTGTGTCGATCTTTTCCAAGATTGTGAAAATCCATAAAAATGTGGGGCAAGCTTTTGCGGATATCATCGTGCTAGGGATAGTTGTTGATATGACTGCAGCATAAGGAGAACTGGCTCCCTAACTTGTGAGTATTATATATGGCCTTTATGGTTTGTTGTGGTCTTACTTATTGATCCTGGAGTATTTGATCCCTTGTTTGCAGCTTCAACTCTACTGTTTCAACTTGTTGGTCTAGTGATTCTAAGAGACTTTAACTGATTAATAAATCTGTCTTCAGAACTGGACAGTTTGAGCTCAGCCATTACTCTCTAGACTTTAAATTAATCAGAGCTTGTTGCATTGGAAACTAAACTTTCATATCTTTTCAAGGAGACCAGATTCATTGGGTTTAGACTTGATTAGAAGGATCAACCATGGATGTAAAGTGGCATTTGAATCTTGTCTGCACGAGAATTGGACTTTATGTTAATTTTACAATTTGGACTTGTTCTTAGGCTTTTCTTTTTATTGCACCTCTATCACTAACCTTATTATCTTCTAGCATCCTCTGCTGTCAAGAAAAGTGCTAATGTTGAGTAAGCCAATCCTGCACATCTGTGTTGCTGCCAAACTTTGGGAAGTCAAGCTTTGTGTATTGAGACACATAACCTTTATTTTCAGTAGCCTCAGTCGCATGCTCCTGTCTCTAGTGACTGCAGTTACTGCTCGACTCAGGTGCGGCAAGATCCTGAGATTTGCTACTCGAGATTTCCTGAGATTGAAGTTTGAGCAGCTCAGTGTCAGCTCCATAAAAATCCTTTGTGCTGCAAGTGAATGTATTGAAATTACCAATGTCAACCTGGATGCTTACCAATTTGATGTGATCCTGACTCTGGGATCAACTTATGGGCGAAGTCATGGAGGAATCTTAGCACGAGCTTTATGCCTTTTCCACAGGCTTTCTTTCCTGCCTATCTTCAATTCACAAACTATTATTTGTTAAGACAACCTACCAGCATTAACGTACTCAACCTCTTTAATAATTATTTCTGATAATTTTACTTGGTGTAGTCTGCTAACATATTTACAATAAAATTTAGACCAAGTTGACTTCTGCTTCTGCTCATATAGCTGATGAGCGTTCCTAAATGAGCAATTACTTCTTAGTTCCTGTTCTTGGATGATGAGTATTTTTTTTTGCTGAAATAATATTGCACATGAACCTACGGTTCTTGTAAACATGTGAGGAGTTTGTAACGCTGTCAGGCTTTCTTCAGAGGGATACATTTCGTTATTAGATTCTCTTTGATTAACATCGATGTATTTGTGGCCATGCTAGCTTTGTCAGATGAGTGGGTCTCTGCTGTGTGTTTCTTTTTTTGTTTTTTCTTTCCCTTTACTGCAGTTAAGAAGTTAGTAGTATTGATTTTAGAAGGAGTTCTGGATCCTTCTCCACATTTGTATTTTTTCATTCATTTCTTTCTAATAAAGCTTCTGTTCCTATTAAAAGAAAATATTTGTGGATCCTATTTCGGTACACTATATGAAGGTGATAGCCTGAGATCTTTTAGTAATTGCTCTCTATGTTGATGAAAGATCTGAGTTCCATAAATTATGTTCTTATAGTTCGTCTTATTTCTGTGCATGTTTGTTTTGTATATGTTTTTTTTTGTTTATTAAACAGTGAAAATAAAATTGGGCCCTTTTTTGCATGCACTTTTGCACTAAATGATGGATTATTTTCACTTTTAGTAGAGTATATATGTTCATTTGGATGATTATCTTTAGATCCTTCATTATGTTAATTGTCCTGGTGTTGCTGCAGAAATCCGCCACTTTGGGGAACAATGAAGTATCTATCTGAGAAAATCCCGAAAGATACTTCTAGCAAGGTGCGGATAAACCGGGATCTATACTCTCATGAAAAGTAAGTAATACTGAGTCAGAATTGCAAAATATTGGTACAAATTTCCTTTTATTTAGCTTTTCTTAGTGACAATGTAAGTTGAGAATTACAAACCTGAGATGTGGATGATGCTTACACAGAATCATGGAGACAGCACCTACGTTGCCTGATTTTGCTTTGTCACTGAAACCTGATGATTATCAACTTCCCTCTGTACATCCTTCATGGAACGAGGAGAACTTGCACCATGTTCCAACTGGCTCCAACCAAGTCAAGGGTAACAGTAGATAGTGAATAAAGATATTTTTCAGATTGCAAGTATACGATTGCCAATCTCAAGACAGTTGCCAGTCAAATTGTTGTATGTATGGAAGGTCCATTCTTATCCAATTTTCTCTTTGATGGTTTCTTATCTTCAATATGATTTATCTGTAATGTTGCTCTAGGGCGTTTACACAACTTTCTTGTGTGTGTTAAACTGTAAATTGACCCTTTCCAATATGGTTATTCTGATTCAGGGAATAAGAATAATGTGTATGTCTTTGTGATGATTGAAGTGAGCCAGGAAATTGGCCATCTGTTTGATAGATAAGCTTTGTTCAAGTACCTTGTTTGTAAAGTTGGTAATGCAAGAAATGACACAAAAAAAAAGAAAAGTCATTGGGCAAGTTTGTTCTGCTGATATTGTAAACGTGCTCTCTCTCTCTCTCTCTCTCTCTCTCTCTCTCTCTCTCCATTTAATAATTGTGGTAAAAGTTGTTTTATGGATATTCTGATACCATGTACAAGAATGAATAAATTATTTGAGAGTGTACAATGTAAACTTGCATAAGAAGATATGGGAAATAAGTTTGTCCTTAAGCGTTTATGAAATTTGTGTTGGTTTTTTTACTTGTGTTGTTCGGGTTTATTTTTTCAAGTCGTTAAGATTTTCTTTTTCTTTTATATAATAGGTGTTAATTTATTTTAAACATAATGTTTTGCTTGTATGTTTTTGTATATTAGGATAAGAGGGGGTAAAATTTTATTGATTTGGGCTTTAACTTTATTATAGTTTTCTTAATATATTATATATTTGTAGGTGATACTGAACTTGTAAGTGGAATGGAAAATTAACTCAAAAAATTTGTTACGATGGGAAACTATGAGTATAATGTATACAAATTATATAGTGAATACTATGAATATAAGGCATACAAATTTTCTAGTGAATATGATATCTCTACAAGGTTGTCTTTCGGAAAGAGGAAGATATCATAGAGATAAGAAAAGAATATACGAGGTAAAGAATTTTAGTCCTTCAAACATGGTTTTCAGAAAATTTGATGATTGGTCTGAGAATAAAAGTTAGAGATGATAACCGGATGCCTAGCTTAAATGAATATGATCATTGTAAAATTACTACATTTATTCTTAATCTTTTGTCATTAACTTGGAACATCCTCAACGTGTTACTAAGAGTTCTTGCTCGATTAGTTACAAATGTCAAAAGTATTTGGTCAATCAAGTTGGAACGGAGGTGTCCACGAACAAAAAAAGAAAGTGGTTATGGAACAATTTCACAAATACGGATGCAAGGGGCCAACTATTTTCCAATGGTATTGAGGTTATCAAGAGAATAGGATAATACCTTTTGTTTTGGAGAAATTATAGATCAAAGTGATTATGGGTCTTCGGAAGGGTTTTTTATTTTCGTATTTTCAACAAATAAGTGGATATTTTTTATTTTCATATTTTCAACAAATAAGTGGATATTTGCCGCGGCTGTAATTTTTTAGCGAGTTTTAAAAGTGTTAATAAAATAATTATTTATTAAAAACACTTTTGATGAAAATATTTTTAATATTTAATAAAAAATAACTATAAAAATATTGTTATTTTAAAAATATAGAAACTGAGTATTTTGTAGAATTAATATTTGAGATTTTGTATAAATTTTTAATAAAAATAAAATTATTTTTCTAAAAATTATATATTATAGTTTTTTTTATTTAAAGGTGTTAGTTTATTTTTAACTTTTTCAAAAGTATTTTGAATTTTACACATTTAGTTATAAAAATACTTTTGAAACTTAAAAATCTCAGTTAAAAGAATGTTTAAATATAATTTACTATATTTACTACTTTCGAATATCAATAATCATTACTAATATGATATTTGATTGCACATTCTATTGAAAAATATTTTTAATGATATGTCTTACAAAATAAATGTAACTATGATACAAGACTCCCACTAAAAATACACATCATCTAATGATAAAATGCCCATATGAGCAGTATACTCATGAAAAACCTTAAGTGGTAATCCCTTAGTGAGTGCATCCGCAATCATGGAGTTTGTTCCAATGTCCCCTATCGATATCTATTTTTGAATGTTTAAATATAATTTACTCTATTTACTACTTTCGAATATCAATAATCATTATGTAATATGATATTTGGTTTCATATTCTATTGAAAAATATTTTTAATGATATGTCTTACAAAATAAATGTAACTATGATATAAGACTCCCACTAAAAATACACATCATCTAATGATACAACACCCATATGAGCAGTATACTCATGAAAAACCTTAAGTGATAATCCCTTAGTGAGCGCATCCGCAATCATGGAGTTTGTTCCAATGTGCTCTATCGATATCTGCTTACTCTGAATTCTTTCTTTAATAACGAGTAACTTGATATCTATATGCTTTGATTTCGTCGAGTTCCGCTTGTTGTTGAAATATATAACTGTTGATTTATTGTTACAAAATATCTTTAATGATCTTTTTATGTAATCAACAATTGGCAGCCCAGTAATAAAATTTTGCAGCCGTATTCCATGCTTGGATGCCTCATAGCATGCTACAAACTCTGCTACCATAATAGAAGAGACTACAAGTGTTTGTTTAGTAATCTTCCAGGAAATACCCCAACAAGTAAGTAAATATAGCATGATGTAGATTTTCTGCTATCTTAACATCCGGTAAAATCAGAATCAGAATAATCAATAATCTTCAACTGATCTAACCTCCTGTATGTAGGCATATAATATTTTGTTCTCTGTAGATACCGCATGACACATTTGGATGCCTTCCAAAGATACATACTTGGATTGCTTAAATATCTACCTAACATCCAACAATGTGCGCAATATTCGGATGCGTACAAATTTATGCATACACAAGACATATGGGAGTCACTTGGTTTACAATCTTGCATGTCAAACCTTTTAAGAACATTTTCAATATAACTCTTTTGTGATAATTCAAGAATACCCTATGAGCGATTCCAGTGTATCTGGATCCCTAATATAAAAGAGGCATCTCCAATGTCTTTCATCTCAAATTTTTTTTGTCAGAAATTTATTGGTTTCGTGCAATAAACCTATATCACTATGGGCAAGTAGTATGTTATCGACATATAAAATCAGAAAAATATATTTACTCATACTGAACTTGTGATATATACAATCTTTCACTAAATTTATCTCGAAACCAAACGAGATGATAACTTGATGAAATTTGTGATATTATTGACGGGAAGTCTGCTTAAGTTCATATATGAATTTCTTTAGTTTGCAAATTTTTTGCTGTGCATCGTCGGATATAAAGTTTTCTTATTGCACTATATAAATCGT